ATATATATATATATATATGAAGAGAGAGAAAACAAATACAGAAACGTATGGGGGATAATAGATAGGCAGAAAGATAGAGAAAGAGAGTCAAGAGAGCGCATTGTCCGTAATTATATTTGTTATTATTATCACACAAAATCACTGCAGTTTTATTTTTACATATTTACTGAAAATTATGTTTATCATATTTATTTTCAATATCAATTATTAGTATTATCATTGTTATTATTATTATTATTATTGGTAGTAGTAGTAGTAGTTATCTGAATATCAGTATTACTATTATTATTGCATTATTATATTATTGTTATTATATCATTACTACTATTATGATCATTATTATTATTGTTATCATAATTATTATTATTATAATTATTATACTTGTCTCTTTATATTAAGTTATATTACTATTTTCTATTTTCTAGCTTTTATTTAATTATTCATTATTGTTATTGTTTCATTATACAGTATTTTTATTATCATTATCATTATTAAATATATAATGTTATTATATACTTAATCATTATTATAATTGTAAATTGTTATGTTATCATTCATTATTAATCATTATAATCTACTACTACTATCGGTTTCATTACTTTTATTGTTATTATTAGTGTTAAAATTTTTATTATATTCTGTTATATCCTTTCAATATTATTATCATCATTATTATCACTATCATTATGTTATAAAAACATTATTACTATTGTTATTATCATTACTTGTAGAATTATTATTATAATCATTATTGTTCTCATGATGACAATAGTAACAGTAACGATGATAATCGTGTCATTATTAGGTTACTATCATTATTAGTGTTACTCTTTTCTTTATAATATCATTGTTATTATTTTTACAATTATCATATTGCTGCTGCTATGATAAATTAGCATAATCAACATTATTATCATTAATGGTAGTTAGTAAGTACTAATGCTGATGATAAAGATGATGATAATGACAAATGATTAATGATGTAATGATAATGATGAGATAAGTAATGATGATAATATACTACTACAACTTTTTTTCCCAGAAGAGTACAGACCAAGAAACACAGACCATATGAGCCATCCGACACAGGCAAATATGGACTTGCTGATCGGAAGTCTTTAGAAAGCCGTCGGGCTATAAAATAAAGTCATTGGCAAAGGACACAGTACAAAGACAAACAAGGACAGCGGGATCACAAAAAAACCAATCCACCCCCTCCCACTCCCAGGTAGTGGTAGGACAGACCAACTACGAATCCTTTTTTTTACTTTTTTTCCCTTTATCTTCTTATATTCGAAGCTTTTTCTTCTTTACTTTTCCTTTTCCTTTTCCTTCTCCACGTGCGAGGCTTTTTCCTTTTCCTTTTCCTTTCCGTTCTCTGCATACGAAAGTTTTTTTCCTTTTCTTCCTACTCCCCCAGCCACAACGCGGTTTGCCGTGGCCCAATAAAATAAGGAACCGGACAACCCCTCCTCCTTACCCTCCATGCGCGTACCCACGGACAGCCCCCCCCCCCAAGGATTGAGTCCGAGAGACTCAAGACAACTCCCACTAATAAGATGGACGGTTGAAGTTTACACAAGGAAAACACTTACACTAAACTTTAGAAAAGAAAAAAAGAAAGAAAAAAAGAAAAAGAAAATAAAAAACAGTAGGAAGAACAAGCACCTCGAACAAACGCAGTGATATCAGTAATATTAACCGACAGAGTAAAACCACTCAAGAGACAGCAAATGACACACTCCAACCAAAAATGTTGGACGAAGAGTCAATGCCAAGAAGCAGAGGAAAAAAAGCAGAGGTGAACAGCAAACGCCAGAGCCATTTGAAAGGGAGGAGATCGCCTGGCCACTCCGCCCTCTACATCACCAGCTGACCTCCAGACACAGGACGAAGAGGACATAGAAGAAATCTTCTCTGAAAGTTTCAAATATTCACAACAAGCCACAAGTAATGACACATGCGACTACAAAAGCTTCACGTTGTCAGTAAGGGGAAAGAAATCTTTATAGACTGACGCTTTTCCCGATAATGTTGAACAAAAAATGTACAAGATAGATCAGGATGTTCTGACCAAGATTGCCGGTGACCAAATTAGCAAGCCATAGAAATAGAACATAAAACATAAAACAAAAACCTAATGGGTAAGCTAGTTAAGATAATTAAGAAAATAAGATTCGAACAAATAATAAAATAAACCTACACGGATTTCCGTAAACACCCATATCTATTAGATGTAATAATGACTAACAGATCACACATATTATCGCATCTGACGTTATCCCGTGCCTTGTGTTGACCTTGAAACTCAGTAACGACCACCGGTAATAAAACTTTGCGACTTCAAACACTATGTCACTAAATCATTATGCTGGGTAATCAGTCTAAAATATGACTGTTGGATATTTTATAGGACAGATATATAAACAAACAAGTAACCATTTCTTACGGAAGTTATTAAAAACAGCATTGATGCGCTGGCTCCCTACTGACACGAATC